TTTTCCATTTATGTCCATTTGGATTGGATGTTTCTATGGACACTTTTGTCCTCTGTGGAGAAATTAATCGTTCTTAAACCACGTAAAATAGTCATTCTAGGCTAATTTAATAACTAGCAATATAGGTAGGCCTATCCTAAACACAGAACAAAGTAGGCTATGAAATATTAAATAATTTTCAACTACAACTTGATCATTGAGCAGCATTATAATATAGTTTAATGCAGGGAGGGACAAATCTTAATATTTGTATAACTTGGGTCAAAACCTCTCTAGTAGCACATTTCGTTGCGCTAGTCAAGTTGTGCAGTTTTGATATGAGAAGATTTCCTACTGTAACATGCAAAAATATACAAACGAATATGTAAATACACTTAGCTCTCAGCTCATTGTTAGGTGAAATGTGTGATCGTGGGGTATCAACTTCTTATCCAGCAAAATTGTTTTGTCTGGTAAAAATTGTAAGAAGAACGTAATGTGTTTGAAAGCAGCGCCCCCTTGTGAATACAGAAAGCATTGCAGTTTGTGTTCGTTAGATTCTATTGGAATTTGGAACATGATTTGTATGGATGCTATGCTATTATTGGCCACATCAATGGACAAATATCAGACCGTAAGCAATGAAAGATGAAACTATTTAGTATATCAGGCAGTTTTAAAATTTTATTTCTATCCAAGCACATTCAACTACACAATATCACCAACATGAAAAAAGAATGCCCTTAATCACATATAATATTTCCCATGGCCAGCATAGGAAACATATCCAGAATATGTAGTTTTCTCTCTCACTTAAAGAATAAATACTTTTTTTTCAGACTCTGATCACAACAATAATAAACTATATAAATTACATTTGGTAGGAAAAATAAATATAAATTATTTTCAGAGTACACTAATAAATATTTCTGCCCTGCCACTACAAGTTGTCCAAGGTGACAGATTTCCTTTTTCGTGATAATATCCTGTGCATCGTAATTTAGCTTCTCTTGCATAAGGCCATTAACCAAAAATGAATTCAATATTAAGTCTCAAACATGACATTGGCATGTATATTCAATGTTATGCAGTTTAAAAAATCAAGTAGTTGTTGGTTATTGTGAACTAAGCAAAGATTTCCGTTGTGTCCCATTATAAAACTACATTTTTAATGCACTAATCATTAATAACCATCTTCCGCTTACACACATCAAATGGAGAGCTGTGTGCGACTCTAAGAGCTTCCTTCGACTGAGCGTTTCCTAGCGAAGAGGTGAGTGGTGTCCCTGTTGCGCAGGTTGGGCTGGATCTTGAACATGGGAGGCCAGCGGAAGCCGGTGTGGCCCTCCATCCCAGAAGGCCCGGCGGCAGCAGGTCCAGATGCGCAGGGCTTGTTCTGAAGCAGCTGGAAAAGCGTGGCCATGTCAGGTCCCAGTCTGGACACCAGCCCGGCTCGCACCACCTCCACGGTGTCTTCCTCACACTCCATTAAGCTCTGCAGAAGCGTGCTGTAGTACCTGCGACACAAAAGTACGAGGGATTAGTGTGGACAGTCGAGTGAGCTCATTTTGTAAAATAATATTTCATCTAAAATGTAAAAAAGTATAGCTCTTTAACAGTTCCTAGTAAAACATTTTGGTCTGTTCCTCACACAATAGACTTAGATACAGTAGTACAAAATGGCATTTTTAAAATAATTTTTACCTTTAAAATGTACTGTATATTGTATTGTGTTGTAAATTATATTGGAACCTTGTTTTAACACCTTCATTTATCATTAATTTGGCTCATAATCATCATTTCATTATTTTTATTTTAATATTCTAATTTTTTCACTGTTTATTTTGTTGTGTGTGTTGTTGATTAGGCAATATTGTATGTCTTCGAAATATCTTCTTTTCTGTTCAACAGAAGAAAGAAACTCATACAGGTTTGGAACAACATAATTAAGGGTGAGTAAATGATGATTTTTTTTTATTTTTTATGTTCTATCACTTTAAGTCCGGTGGACCAATCATCACTCACTCCAAAACAAGTTCACACGCCATATTACCTATTCGGGAAGTGGCTGGGCACTTGGACCACGTCACCAATGGCCTCAGGGTTGGATCGGGCCACTTCGCAGATGTCAAGCTTCTTATAGCATTCCTCCTGCACTTCAGCAATCATCTTCTGGAAGGTGGAACAGCGTTTGATGGTCTGGAAGACCTTCGAGGTGATACCGTTGGCGATGCATTTGATGCTCTCTTTCACAAACGTCTTACCCTGGGAGGGAAAAAATCGAAAATGACTTATATTGCTATAAGCAAACGGCTGAAATGCTATGTTAAGGCCCGTTCACACACTAAGGTCGATAACTATAAAGATAAAGAAAGATATAGTTTAAAAAAAAATCCCAGTATAAAAGAATAGCAGAGTTCACACCACAGCTATATATAACGATAACGGCACAGAGAAACGACATAATTGGAATCACTTTCAGAATACAAACATTGACAGCCAATTATAATCCATCCTGCTGTAACGAGCTCGAGCATTTAAAGCGGCAGACAAGCACGCGCGTGGAATAAACATAGGCCTAATATCGTCTGCTGGAGTGAACACTAATAGTTATCGTTCTTTGTGTGAACGGGGTTCTTTGTCTTTACTTAGAGAAGTAAATAAATTGTTTTGATTAACTATGTTTTGTACCTCTGTGTTGAACACAGCAGCCGTGTGGAGGAAGACGTTACAGATCTCGTGCATGCCGTCAGTGTCACAGGTCGAGTTTTCCAGACATGCGAAGGTGGAGCAGCCGACCTGTAGAGCTCCGTTCAGGCACCGGGCAACCTCAGCTGGAGGAGGAAGGAAAAAACTTTTTTTGAGAAACAATTGTATTCAGAGCAGTGTAAAAGTAGACATTTTTTTGCTACAGAGACAGTCCTGAAGGTGTAATATTTGCTCAAAGGTGAAACACAGAACGCCCCCCCCCCCCCAACGTTAGGTAGGCGATTCCCGTTTGGTTATTTTTTTGAGAATCAAATAATATCGTTCTAGGAACTTTCTTTTTAGCTGTTATTTTTTGCAACCATAAAAGAACGTTGCAGGGTGGTTATTTTTAAATAACCTAACAATAACTTATAACGTTAGGGGAACCTTAGTTAGAATAATGTTCTACAATCCGTTAAGAAAACTTTCCTGGCTAAACAAAAACAAACCTTAAAAAAGAACGTGCTGGGAAGTTCTAATGGAATTGAACCTACAACCCTCAACCTTATAACCACTAAGGATTTGAACATTTGCCCATGCATAGGCTACTCTTAAAACAAAAACAAAGTGACCATTCAATAAAGAAAATAATACTTACTAGGGCTGTTGGATGAGAATCGTGCTCGTCTTGGTTGTGCAGGTTCCTGATCCGATTCAAACGCAGATGTAACCAAAACGAGGAGCAAAAGAAATCCGCTTTTCAGAAGCATGTCTGCACCTAGAACCAAAAACAAGGGATGAAAACAAGAGACGTTTGCTGATTCTGTTGGTTTGTGTTTCAGGTTGATGACAGGCTCAGCTTTATACAGCTCTTCGGGTGAGCTTGACGGCTCATAAATCCCCACCATCACCAATCAGAACGCAGGATCCGAAAGCTCAAACTTTCCATCTCTTTGTAAATATTCATGGGCTCATATTAATGCAGATGCACCTGCTATGATTTTATCTCCAGTTAGACATTTAAATTCTTTCAGATACTTGGAAGTCACCATAAAATCATCATAGACAATTCTTATTTTATGTAGTTTTGCAGTATTTATTATGAATGATTTATCTGTGCACATTATTATTATTATTTTTAATTAATGTGCCATCATAATCTTTAATCAAAATAACTTGCTCTCTGTCTTGCAACATATGGGCTGTGTCCGAAATCGCATACTCTCTTGAGTAGATACTTTTTTTGAATAAGTCACGACAGCTAAAAAAAGTACATTCTATATAGGGTATGTGTGTGTGTAGTATAAATGTAATTTGGACGTACTACATTCACCATTTTGTCATCATGTGATCTACCAGCGTCAGTTGCGTCACAAATTCTTTCCCGTGGCCTCATGGGATAGTAAAGTGTCCATCGTATGCACACTTCAGAATCTACCCGGAAGTGGTAGGCCATCCAGGTACTTTTTGTGTACTCTTTTATGAATACTGTGAATTTGGACATACTACTTTTGTCACGTACTGTTTTTCGCCTACTAATATACAGATCCTTCTAAAAAAATTAGCATATTGTGATAAAGTTCATTATTTTCCATAATGTAATGATAAAAATTAAACTTTCATATATTTTAGATTCATTGCACACCAACTGAAATATTTCAGGTCTTTTATTGTTTTAATACTGATGTTTTTGGCATACAGCTCATGAAAACCCCAAATTCCTGTCTCAAAAATTTAGCATATTTCAGCAGACCAATAAAATAAGTGTTTTTAATACAAAAAAAAAAGTCAACCTTCAAATAATTATGTTCAGTTATGCACTCAATAGTCAATACTTGGTCGGGAATCCTTTTGCAGAAATGACTGCTTCAATGCGGCGTGGCATGGAGGCAATCAGCCTGTGGCACTGCTGAGGTGTTATGGAGGCCCAGGATGCTTCGATAGCGGCCTTAAGCTCATCCAGAGTGTTGGGTCTTGCGTCTCTCAACTTTCTCTTCACAATATCCCACAGATTCTCTATGGGGTTCAGGTCAGGAGAGTTGGCAGGCCAATTGAGCACAGTAATACCATGGTCAGTAAACCATTTACCAGTGGTTTTGGCACTGTGAGCAGGTGCCAGGTCGTGCTGAAAAATGAAATCTTCATCTCCATAAAGCTTTTCAGCAGAAGGAAGCATGAAGTGCTCCAAAATCTCCTGATAGCTAGCTGCATTGACCCTGCCCTTGATAAAACACAGTGCACCAACACCAGCAGCTGACATGGCACCCCAGACCATCACTGACTGTGGGTACTTGACACTGGACTTCAGGCATTTTGGCATTTCCTTCTCCCCAGTCTTCCTCCAGACTCTGGCACCTTGATTTCCGAATGACATGCAAAACTGAGCAACAGTCCAGTGCTGCTTCTCTGTAGCCCAGGTCAGGCGCTTCTGCCGCTGTTTCTGGTTCAAAAGTGGCTTGACCTGGGGAATGCGGCACCTGTAGCCCATTTCCTGCACACGCCTGTGCACGGTGGCTCTGGATGTTTCTACTCCAGACTCAGTCCACTGCTTCCGCAGGTCCCCCAAGGTCTGGAATCGGTCCTTCTCCACAATCTTCCTCAGGGTCCGGTCACCTCTTCTCGTTGTGCAGCGTTTTTGCCACACTTTTCCTTCCCACAGACTTCCCACTGAGGTGCCTTGATACAGCACTCTGGGAACAGCCTATTTGTTCAGAAATTTCTTTCTGTCTTACCCTCTTGCTTGAGGGTGTCAATAATGGCCTTCTGGACAGCAGTCAGGTCGGCAGTCTTACCCATGATTGCGGTTTTGAGTAATGAAACAGGCTGGGAGTTTTTAAAAGCCTCAGGAATCTTTTGCAGGTGTTTAGAGTTAATTAGTTGATTCAGATGATTAGGTTAATAGCTTGTTTAGAGACCCTTTTCATGATATGCTAATTTTTTGAGACAGGAATTTTGGGTTTTCATGTGCTGTATGCTAAAATCATCAGTATTAAAACAATAAAAGACCTGAAATATTTCAGTTGGTGTGCAATGAATCTAAAATATATGAAAGTTTAATTTTTATCATTACATTATGGAAAATAATGAACTTTATCACAATATGCTAATTTTTTTAGAAGAACCTGTAGTAGGCAGCCCTCTACTTTTCTCTGATGACATGTTTACTGATGTGTCACTCACAACCTGTCACTCACATGAGATCGACCAATAGAAAATGACAACCATGCAATTTGTCCAATTCCCTATGGACAAAATCAAATTCTGCCCTACATTTTTTCTTGTTCGAAAAGCCGTTTCTCTCCGATATACGTCACAATAGGGCACTTAGATTTCATGCCGACTTACTTTTTTTTTTTATTCCATTTCTTAAAATGGCACCTTGGCATATCTAATTCATTAAACACAAACTATCATTAAAAAACACCTCAGATTTCTTATGATCCTAAATTACGTTTGCTTCACATTCTCATCTGGAGGATCATTATGATTTACCCTGTTCTGTTACAATATTATGATATTCCCGATGATATCCCTCTCAAGCAAGTCAAGCTCAATGGCTTCTTTGTAGAAAACACTTCTACGGTTGTTTGGTTTGGATTTCATTTCACTGTGATTTACTGTAAGCACATCTCTCTTATTTGATGTTTGCTGTTGTTCTCAAAGAGGGTTCAGGGACTTTTTGACACCTGGCACGTAATTGTGCTAAAGGTACAAGCTTCATCAAAACAGACAAATGTAGCTTGTCAGAACTGGTCATGTGGTTGACTAAACATCCGTTCCCACAGGATCTGAAGGAGAAGCGTTTGTAAGTGTCTAATCAGTGGATCTTGCAAAGGCTATAAGTGATGTGTTTTCCATGATGAACTTCATTAGCCTTAAGAAATTTCCTCCCCTAAAGGGTTAATTACTGATAATGATCAAAGCACTCACTGGTTTCTTAGAGGGGGCCTGGAGACGCAGCTATTTTGGGTTTATTACCTTTGTTCACACAAATGCCTGCAGTTTGTTACTGAAGTAGGGCAGGAAAACTCACACCCACATCTTTACTGAATAATATGATTGAGTAGGAACACACACACACACACACACACACAGCCGTTCATTTTCCAATAATCCGTTGAATCTCAGGCTACATGGCATTAAAAGTCATAAATGTCGATTTTTCCACAACAACAAAAAAAGCTGAATGTGATGATTGTGCCATAAACACCGTTAGGTACTACATCAAGTTTGTGTTAAGCAGAAAATGTAAATGTTTGTGTAGCACACCTTCAGTAAATTAAACCTGCATGAGAATTCATCACCATTCAACCTTTTTTTCCCCCATAAAATGAGGAAGAATCTTCATCTAAGAAAGTGCTCCAAAAGTCTTGAGATGATTTTGGAAATCTGGGATATTTTTTCTCCAATTTAAACCTGGGAATAATCCGAAAGTTGTAGATTTTGAAGAGTAAAAAAGGAGTAACCCTTAATTTTACAGTGTCCTTCTTGCATGTAGTTAGTAATTTCTTTAAATTGTGCATAATTATATGCAACTGACCCTAAAACACACCCTAATCCTAACCCTATAGTTAATTCTTATTACTCAGTACTTAAATGTACAAATACAGTGTAAACCGGACACCTTAAAATAAAGTGTAAACAAAAAAAAAACTTTTTCTATTGTTACTATTCAGAAAATTAGTGACAATGATCATGTGAAAGTTCTTTCTTCCATACAAGTACAAGAAGCTTTGTTGGATAACATGATCATCACTTGAATCACATGTTGTCCTCATTAAAAAAAAGGGGATAAGCAGGCTTAACAAATAAGAACTGTAAAAAATATTAATACAAATGCTGATATTATAAATACAAATGCTAATATTATAATAAAAATCTTGTATTAATATAAATTAAAATAATTTTACTCAGACTTCTGGACTTCATTGATGGCTTTAATGATCAACACACAGCAACAAGCGATTCGCTACATTTTTCGCTAGTTGAAATTTCTCATTATTTCTTGATATCTGTAGGCTATATTTTAACATGTTACAATTGTTATTTTTGATATCTGGACTGAACATGCTGATATCAATTATTAGAAGTGTAATTTCAGATTTCTAAAATGGCTTTCTTACTAGTAACTAATCATTTATGATATCAGAAATTAACATGGCCACTATGACAATCGAATTATTGATATCAAAAATAAAAAAAATAATAGTAGCAATTCAGTTGTTGATTTCAAGAACAGACATTTGCGTGCTACCACGAAATAATTGATAGTAAAAAAAATATGATTTTTACTAGTAAGAATTGTATTTCTGATAGGCTGAAATTGGAATTTCAATTAGTAAAAAATATGTAGGCTATCCTGAGAAAGAATAAAAGTCAAAACGGCTAGCCATACACCGCACCGCAGGTGTATTAATGTTCAGTCTCATTATGTACAGCCTAGTTTGCAGTGAGTGTCGGATATACAAATAGAAGCAGCGCACACTATTGAGGTGAGGATGGTGGAAAATGCTTAATATTTTAAGATAACTATCAGGAGATTGCAGCAGGTTGGTATTAAGCTTGAGGTAACTATATGTGTGAACTATAATTATTTGTTGTTGTATTTACGACTCTTTCATTTCAGTCACCCCATTCTCAACACCGTAAGTGTGGTGCGTCAGATGGCGCTGCCTACATGCGGAAGAGAAACCAAGGAACCACCGGGAATGTCACGAATCAGAAACCTACAGCCGTCGCGCGTTTCTGCTCATTCAGTCGTTGGATTTTAATAAAATGATCTTAAGAATTAGGGCGTTTGGTGGTAACATGGGTTAATAAAGGACCTCTTTAAGGGGCCACATTCCCACTGTTGGCCGTGTGTGTGCCACTGTCAGGCCGGAGTGACACAGACAGTAATCGTGGTAAACGCTGGAATTAGGTCTGGATGCGGTAAACTACGGTGACATAGCCTAATTCTGTATCTTCTGCTTCTCCGCCGGGAAAATGAAGTGTATGCCCGGTTCGTTTCAGGTGCACGCCGCATACAACGGGCATTTTGTCACCTTCCTCTCTAAGACCACAATCGACTGCCAACCCGATGCACCCCTTCAGTTCACTTCGGTACGTGTGTTCATAAATACATGCGATTGTGTAGGCTACATTAATTGCTTTCTTGAGTAGCCGGACATTATACGGGCATGAGGAGCATTACATAAGTTCAGTGTGAAGGCTTTGTTTCAACCTACTGAGCTGCCTAGTGCCTACCTACACAGCTCGGCATCGCAGGCGAATTTGTGCAGCCGATTCTGAGAGCGTCGAACCTGTTTTTCACGGCTGAATGCTTGATTCTGATTGGCCAATAGCGACGCCTTAGGTCAGAGCCGTTGCCTTTTAGGTGCAAACAATTGTTTTTGTAAAATGATCGCTAAAATGAGTATTTCGCCGCTACATACCAGCATACTAGTTTTATTTCTTTCATAATTTTCGAGAAAAATCTAGAAAAAAATAAGTTGCTAAAATTGTTCACTACAGAAAAGTACAGTTTTCTATGTGGATTGCGGATTAATAGTAACTGATTTTTGCTGCTACTGGACTTTTTCTTAAAGTCCTCCTGTTGTGAAAATTACGATTTTAATGTGCCGTTTGAATGTTTGTCCGCTTTGAATGGAAATGAAATGTAGATTGGGTGGTATTTTGCCAATGTAGCGAGAGTACATTGGATTTAGACTGCTCAAACATAAATCCCTGTACGTAGGCTTTCTTTGTATCTTTGTACCGTTTTGGTGGATGAAATGTTTTGGGCTTTAGTTGGCGGTTGCTCTCTTTAGCTCTGTCAAAGTCCCTTTCAAGGCAAGTCTTTTCACTCGGCGGCCATCTTTAAAACGCCTCTCGGGCAGCTATTTTAGTCATGTGCAGCTCCTACCTCTTTGAATGGGGAAACAACAAATTCACCAAAGACTGCTCGATTTTCTGAAAGTCTGCCTCCGTTAACGCAATATGGATGTTTTGTCACGCTTCTCGGCGAAGATTTTTCACTACTCCAATGAAAACATTGTTGTTAGTGATAAACTCTGGATCTTTCAAAAGACACCAGGATCGGTAGATCGATGGATCATTTATGTACCGTCCCACGCATAGGCCGTAAGGCTCCTGACGTAGAGCCTGGTCTACGTCAATTTTGGTTATTGTTTTAAAATCAATAGCCAGATCTTTCTTGGCACACCAGTCCTGAAAACAGTGTACAGACCACATAGTCTGTTTAACAGACCTGGCTTAATTTCTTGACTTTTCCAGCATTTTAATTTCTCTTTCTATGCCTTGACCATCTCTACCACTCTTACACGCTAGCCCACCCATTAAAGGGTTATTTCACCCAAAGATAAAAATTCTCTCATTAATTACTCGCCCTTTTGTCGTTCCAAACCTGGAAGACTTTCGTTCATCTTCGGAACACAATACACAAATGAAGATCTTTTTGATGAAATCTGAGAGCTTTCTGTCCCTCCATTGACAGCTACGCAACTGACACTTTGACGCTTCAAAAAGTTAATTCATAGATCGTAAAACTAATCCATGTGAATTGAGCGGTTTAGTTCAAATTTTCTGAAGAAACTCGATCGCTCTATAATGAACAGATTGAATTCAGGCTTTAGCCTATTTGGAAAGTATGCATCTAATCATCTTATATGTGGATGAAGTATAAATATTCCTTACATTTCACAAACATCTGCCTTACAGACTAATGGAGTGAAAATTAGCTAAAACAATTATGGATGGCAAAATATGGATACTGCATTATAACCTATTATTATTGTTATGTCACAAAGCTTTTATTGCCATTTAAGTTATTTTCTTTTTGTGTTTTTGTGGTTAAGTCTATAATGACATGCAATACTTAATCTTTTGATTAATAATCTTGCTTGCACGTTGAACATGAGGAGAAAAAGGGTATATATTTAGACCCCATTTACACCTGGTATTAAAATGCGATCTGTATCCAGATAAGTTATCCGGATAATAAAAAACGCATGTTAATGTAAGGTACGTTGTGATCGGATCTGCCTGACCACATCTGGAGGTAGTCCGGCTCGCATTGTTTTCGGATCTTTACTAGGTGTAAACGCAATCCATACGACGTGATGGCATTCGTACCTGCCAAACGTCATTTTTTTCTGGAGGACAGAGATCCGAACTCAATGTGGATAACGAGAACGCATTAAAAATACAAGGTGTAAACGCAAAGGTAAGATCAGAACACTTATTATCCAGATAACTTATCTGGATACAGATCTCATTTAAATACCAGGTCTTATAGACATAATTTGCAGTATCATGCTTGATTATGTAAGGATTATGACAATTTTTTCAGAGTATTTTCAAGTTTTATGAGTGTTAATTGTGTCTTTATCCATTGCTTTTAGGTCCCAGTTTACAGATACTGACATGGACTATGAGAGGCCTAATGTCGAGACCATTAAATGTGTGGTGGTGGGGGACAATGCTGTGGGCAAAACGCGGCTGATCTGTGCCCGAGCGTGTAACGCCACTCTTACGCAGTACCAGCTACTCGCCACACATGTGCCCACCGTCTGGGCCATTGACCAGTATAGAGTCTGTCAAGAGGTCTGGACTTTTATCTTTCCGCTCATGACACTTCAAAAGCATAAGATAAGTATTGTAACCCATAAATCCAATTCTTGTGCCCGTTTTTGAAGGTTCTGGAGCGCTCCAGAGATGTAGTGGATGATGTAAGCGTGTCTCTTCGATTATGGGACACTTTCGGAGACCACCACAAAGACCGGCGCTTTGCTTACGGCAGGTGTGTTTGTGAACCGTTTTGTTGGAAAGAAACAACATCTGAAATATTCTTTTGAGGACATCTGAAATGTTTTTTCTTGTGTTTGTACACCAGGTCAGATGTGGTGGTCCTGTGCTTCTCCATCGCCAACCCCAATTCTCTCTTTCACGTGAAGACCATGTGGTACCCAGAGATCAAGCACTTCTGCCCTCGCGCCCCAGTCATCCTGGTGGGCTGCCAGTTAGACCTGCGTTACGCTGACCTAGAGGCTGTTAATAGGGCACGGAGGCCTCTTGCCAGGTGAATTGCTGATCAAAATTTTCAATCTGTTATTTAAAGACCCATTGAAATCAGAATTTTTGAGGTTTTGTGCTCATTATGCTCATTTAAAATTGATAGTCTATCTCAAAATTGATAGTCTTTCTCTTCCTGGATTTTTTTTTATTAATATGTACAGATGTATATATATATTTTTTTTAAATGAAATGGTGTCTAAAAATGTATATGTATCTATTGTAAAAATCTATATGTTACCATTTAAAAGCTTGGGGTCGGTAAGATTTTTTAATAGTTATTTCTTTAAAGTCTTCTGCTCACCAAAGCTGCACTTATTTGATCAAGAATACAGTAATATATTGTAATACTGTGAAGTATTATTACAATTTAAAAATTGACTGTTTTCTTTTTGAATATATAGTAAAATGTAATTTATTCCTGTGATTCAAAGCTGAATTTTCCGCATCATTACAGAAATCATTCAAATATGCTGATTTGCTGCTCAAGAAAGATTTCTTATTATTATCAATGTTGAAAACAGTTGTGCTGCTTAATATTTTTGTGGAAACATGATAATTTTTTTAGGATTATTTGATGAATAGAATGCCCATAACAACATCATTTATTAGAAAATGAAATATTTTGTAACATTAAAATTAAATATTATACAAATGGCTTTACTGTCACTTTTTTTGCTGATTTAAAGTATTAATATTAATTTCTTTCAAAAAACAAAATATGTATTTTAAAAAAGTAATTATACTGCAAACAAAAATAAAATAAAAAATAAAAATGTAAACATCTCTATATTTCAAATACCACATGCTTCTCTAACTTATAAAACATACAATGCTATCTATATTATAAATATAAAAAATTCTAATAATTATACATGTCTTTATATTCTAAGTATCACTTGCTTCTCTAAATTATGAGTATAAAAATACTAATAAGTATAAATGTCTCTATATTTATGTCACCTGCTTCTGATTAGGAATAGAAAGAAATAAGCCTCGGTCCATCTGTGTGTCTTTGGCTAGCTTTATTTCAGACTATTTAATTGGCTAAATTGAGCATCATGCATTGAGGGCGTTTTTATTTAATTCAAGAATGTAACAAATATGTAGCATTCACATTAAAGATATTGTAGTACATCTTTTTTGTTGACATTTCTCCATCAACCAACTTTACAGACCCATCAAAGCAAATGAGATTCTTCCTCCTGAGAAGGGTCGCGAGGTGGCCAAAGAACTGGGTGTGCCGTACTTCGAGACCAGCGTTGTGGCTCAGTTTGGGGTGAAGGACGTGTTTGACAATGCCATTCGCGCTGCTCTCATCTCACGGCGCCACCTGCAGTTCTGGAAGTCTCACTTGAGGGACGTCCAACGGCCTCTTTTGCAGGCTCCTTTCCTGCCTCCAAAGCCTCCTCCGCCCGCTATAGTCATCCCGCCACCTCCTTCCACCACTGAGGAGCACCCGGCCCGGCTGCTGGAGGAGCCGCTGTGTGCTGATGTGGTTCTGGTCCTCCAAGAGCACCAGCGAGTCTTTGCTCATAAAGTCTACCTCGCCACGGCCTCTTCGAAATTCTACGACCTTTTTCTCCAGGATGTGAAGGCAGAGGCTGACGGCAAGCAACCTCCCGGTCGGGTGCTCCCTACACGGGCCGCCAGCTTTGACATGTGTGAGAGCAGCGATGAAGAAAGCAGGGTCAACCTCAGGGCCTGCATCAGTGACGGGACCCTGACCGGTGCAGACTCTGATGGGATCCTGGAGGGTGGGCGCGGGGGGCGACTTCTGTCGTCTTTGGGTCGGGCTTTCGTCGGCATCAGGAGAGAAACGGTCCAGGATCCCGTCACGTTCATCTCCCGGCCAATGACGGTGGTGCACATGGATCCGTCGGTGTCGCTCGGGCCGTTTCGCGTGGTCATGCGTTACCTATACACTGGACAGTTGGACGAGCACGAGAAGGACCTGATGCACATCGCCCACATCGCCGAGCTGCTGGAAGTGTTTGACTTGCGCATGATGGTCGCCAACATCCTCAACGACGAGGCCTTCATGAACCAGGAGATCACAAAGGCTTTCCATGTGCGACGGACCAATCGGGTGAAGGAATGCTTGGCTAAAGGAACTTTCTCAGGTTAAAGTTGTTTTTATCTCATGTAGTAAAAGTAGGGTACAATTTGGGGATATAATTGAATTGCGAATTAGTTTAATTACTTTTTATTAACTATTGTAAAATTTCTCTGTAAAATAGTGATGGGCGCTTTCGAAACACTGCTTTGCGCATTGCACTTTCTCCCATTCATAGTAATACGAGTGCACCATCTTAAAGCCTTTGGTTGTTGTTAATAGTCTCTTATTGTTCTGATTAACCAAGCTCTCCATAAAACAAACAAAACAAGCCCTACAATTTAATAATATAACACATAATGTAATGGTATTAGATGATTTATTAATTGCATTTAATAAATTACACTTTCAACAACATATTGGTTTGTAACAGATGTTTTTATGCATGTTGGGTGGAGTTTTCATTGCGTTTAAGCCATTCTGACCTGCAGGTGTCACCAGTGTGTGGCGTTTCGAGTGCTTCGAAACAGTGAATCATTTTGTTTCATTGGTGGATCATGAGCTGCGCATGTGTAAAAGAACACAGTGCCCCGCGCTTTAATCTGAAACATGCAGCGCATACTGTATATTTCAATTTAAATTTCAATTTTTAAAATTTAAATCACAGCCTTCGCGATTTGATAATTGCACTAAGCCATATCGCGATTACAGGTCACCGTGCAGCCCTATCGTAAGATCCTAATGCTGTCTGTTTTTGCTGCTTTCTTTCTTTGTATCCCAGATGTGGTGTTTAAACTGGATGATGGTACCGTTCAGGCCCACAAACCCCTGCTCATCTCTAGCTGCGATTGGATGGCAGCCATGTTTGGTGGGCCTTTTGTTGAGAGCTGTACTAAAGAGGTAAATGCTGCATTTTACAGAAGTGACCCATTCATGCACAATATTTATGAACATCACTGTGGAAAAGATATAAATCAATTGGGAAATTGTACATTTTGTTCACTTTTTCCTGTGTCCTCTGAGAGAAGATTTCAAACAGTGTTACATTGATATTTGTGTAGAAGTTAATGTTATCTTCAAAGACGTGTTGTGGTTTCACAGGTGTTGTTCCCAAATACGACCCGTAGTAGTATGCAGGCTGTGCTGGAGTATCTCTACACGGGACGCTTCTGCTCCAGACCTGACCTGGACGCCACGGAGCTCATTATCTTAGCCAATCGCCTCTGCCTGCCTCACCTGGTCGCCCTCACAGGTCTGACGTCTGATTATCATGTCAATAATGTACATAAGAACTAACAAGGATTCTAATGTTTATAGAGTCTGTCCCCAAAGTTTTGAACGGTAGTGTAAATATCATGTTTATATGTTGTCATCCCTTTTAAATTGTGTTTTGCTGCAGAGCTCCATACTGTGACTGTTCTGAAGGAGTCTGCCGCTATGGGCACGGACATTGACGGAGATGTGCTGGTATATCTGGAGATGGCTCAGGTAAACTTTAAAGGCAGAGTAGGTGATTTGGTCTAGAAATTTTTGTTTTTATGCTGGTTGAAAGTCTCTTCACATCCTGATAGCAATCAATAAGTTAGTCAGTCTAAATGTATTTATATATATACTATATATCGTCTATGGAAGGCGTAGGACCATAAAATGTTCGTCCAATCATTGCATTGGGTCCGATGTCCTACCTGCCTGTCAACGTATGTATCCATACCTCCGCGCAGACATCACACGTCATCAGCGTGTTTCATGCTATGCAGAGTTAGACAGACGTCAGTCACCGAGCACCACAACCGAAACCAGCCGCCTTTTACAGTTCCTCCTGAACCAAAACAATGAGCTTATGTTGCGCTCATGCCATAGCTACTGTAATTTGGAAGAGATAGAAACCTGTGACGTGATACTCGGAGCGGTTTGTGACTCGAATTTATGCGTTTCAATGGCAATACAATCAACGGTTAAATGAATCTGCAGAAGTCAGGTTTTACAGGTCAGTGCTCTTTAAGTTATGTTCATTATCATTGTAATGTTATGTGCTTTGAGACATGAGGTAGTTTAACACTGTCTCTCGTGACGCTTCTGTTTGCTCTCTGCTGTACGTGTTCATGTGTTTGAGGAGGCGTGGGTTTGGAGATGCTATGAACGGAGGGTGGGATATTATGCTTTCAAAGCTAGCTTGCAAAGTTAGCTAGCTTTTCAAAGCTAGCCTTGCAAAGTTAGCCTTTCCGAAAATTGCCTACCCTACCTTTAAGATTTAGTGCATGTTACAAGTAAACTAAGAAAGAATCTGCATGACTAAGGAAATAATGGGTTTCCTGCAAACAGTACAGTAACCCGTGTCTTGCTCTAGGACTTGATGTGAAGTCAGACACATTTTTGCTGCATTCCTGTGAATGTTCACATGGTTCATTCTGTCATGCCTGAGTGGTCAAGCTGAGTCACTTGATTTACTTAAGACTCTTAGGAACGCGAAACATTTCTTCACTTTTGTGTCTCGGGCACTCTCTGTCAGTAAAATGTGTTCCTCTATTTGACTCTGAAACTAAACAGATTTATAAAATGGATTTAACAGAGCTTGAGTTTCATTGGTAAACTGGTATAGACTGACAGTGAAAAATGAGCTAACTCACCCTAATGTCATTTCAAACTCTTCCGTGGAACCCAAATGGAGGTATTTAGCATATTGTTCACAGGACTAAAAGAAACACCATGAAAAGTCGTTAAGGTTATATTTCACGTCTTCTGAAGCCATACGATAGCTTTGATAGCTGTTCCCGTTACTGTAGCTTTCAAATCCCATTAGTTCTTCATGGCACTTGTTTTTTGGCAACAGGGCACAAGAAAACCAGGAAGAGAAATTAAACAAAAATCATACCAACCCACAGTCATGTGTTTGAAAAAAACATAATGGCGACTAAAATGATGATTTTTGGGTGAATTATTCCTTTAAAGAACACTCAATTGACATGTTGTCATGTGATTTCAGTTCCACTGTGCCTACCAGCTCACCGATTGGTGCCTTCACCACATCTGCACCAATTACAACAACGTGTGCCGCAAATTCCCCAGGGACATGAGGGCCAAATCAGCAGGTAGTACATGAAAACTTTGTCTTTTTTTTTTTTTTTTTTTCAGAATTCAGTTTTTAACATGTTTTTGTTTTGGATGCATTTTCAGAGAACCAAGAATACTTCGAGAAGCACCGCTGGCCCCCGGTCTGGTACCTGAAGGAGGACGACCACTACCAGAGAGCACGGAGGGAGCGGGAAAAGGAGGACTACCTGTTGCAGAAGCGGCAGAGCAAGCGTAAATGGGTGCTGTGGAGTCTTCCGCCCTCCCCTTCGAACCCCTCTTCATCTTCCTCTTCGTCCTCATCCTCCTCTGCTGTCATCTGAAGAGACGAGGGGGACAAGTTGAAATCACAGCTGGTTTCAGATCAACATCTCATCAAACGTGCTTTGAAGTTCTTGGTGCTTGAAGTCCTGTACAGGCATCATGTAGGGCATGGCCGCCAAACAGGTCTAAATGTGAAATGTTTACCAAATGTGACTATTGTCGTTCTGCTGTTACGTAAAACAGGTAGGCATCTCATCTTAAAACAATGAAGAAACCCTTGGTGTATTTTAGTGATCTAGATTCTAGATCAGTGGTTCCCAACTTGATTTTGCTTTACAACTCAGATTTTACATTGGAAAACAAATGGTGACGCAGCATCATATGAAAAGGAATTGGATTGAACACAGTGTGGTTGACCATTGTTTGGCCCTGTGTTATAATATTGTTTATTTAGTATTTTTCATAGTACATTCTGAATTAGCTTCTTATATTTAGATTTTCAGTTTTCATTTAAAAGTAATTTTTCTTTTACATTTTGGTAACACTTTACAATAAGGTTCCATTTGTTAACATCAATACAACAATAACAACAATAGTTACATACATACACAACTACAATAATTACCATGAACAACAATAAAAAATACTTCTAAAGCATTTATTAATCTTAGTTAATGTTAATTTCAACATTTACTAATACATTATTAATAATCAAATTTGACCAGAGTGAACAGCTGTATTTTGTTTTTAAACTAATGTTAACAAAGATTAATAATAATGTTAGTTAATGCATTAACTGATGGGACTTTATTGTAAAATGTTACGGTTTTTTATATATAATACATATATATATATATATAATATACATATATATATATATGTGTATATACACTAACTGAAATAAGTTTGTTAACTGATATTTATGTTTTATATCAGCTTTATTTTAGTTACCAGAAACATTTGAATAAGTTTTAGTTAAAATAACATTGCTGGTTTGGGCAGACATTCGACATCAAGACCAAAAGAGATTTATAATGTTTCAAATATTAAGATTTCAAATATTTTGCTATAATAACCACACTCAGCTGTTTTTCCCTCACACACCATTTGATAACCACTTATCTAAAACTGTTTCGCCTCAAAGCAGAATAGTGGGAACAATGAACAGTCACACGAAGAACAAAACTAAATCGCTGTGTATTTTTAGCCAATAATAATAATCTTAATTTTTTAGCATTGTACCTACAATGACTCTTTGTGATTCATCCCCTGAATCATATCATATATATATATATATATATATATATATATATATATATATATATATATATTCTCCTGATTATAACAGGCATGACCGTAAGGTGATCACTAGACTCTAGTGCTGAAATTATAGTGGAAATTGTGAGTTTGCCACGTAATTGTGCCTAGTCCTGTTGTTCTGAGACGTCATGGCGAGATTCTGCTGGCAGAGTCTTCCTGTGTGAGTTACTCACTAGTCATCAAGCTTATATTTTTCACTACAGCGTAGTTTGGATATTGAATTGAGTGGCTACACATTTAGTAATAGGCAAAAGTTTTCTTGAATTTCATTTGAAAAAAGGTCCATGAAAAAGTGAACATCTTGACATTGTTTACTCATCCTCATGTCGTTCTAAACCTGTAAGATTTTTTCTTTCGTGGAGGAAATAAAATAAAAAACCTCCTTTTGTTTTCCACAGACGTCACAAGGTTTCCATAAATGACAGGTTTAGAGTACTCATGAGGGCGAGTAAATGACAGAATGTGTTTCTGAGTGCACGATCCCTTTAATGATTCACTTTGTTTTGTGTGAGATCTAGGTCTTGTGGTAATCCTGTCTTTTAGATGTAATTTTGTCTTGAGACTGAATACACATATCACACGATCAATAGTGGTTCTGTAAAACTAAACTGCAATGAAATGAAATGCTTATCAACATTAAAAATATAATTATAATAGAACAAAAGTTGTTGAATACATTTTTTTATTTAAAAATGTCTCTGCTTAAAAGTTCTGTATACCTTTGTTTTGTTGTGTGTGTGTGCGTGAGAAAGAGAGAGAGAGAGTTTACAACACCACTCTGTCATTTATGATGTTGCTTTCACAGTAAAGGTGAGTATGGAGTATAGATTCCAATATTTTGAATTGACATTTTCTAAATTACTTTTTCTTTTCTATTCATTTTTTTGTGTATGTTTTACTTTCTCTCTCTCATATATATATTTTCCATAAATATATTCTATCTATAAAGTGTTATATATATATATATATATATATATATATATATATATATATATATATATATATAAATATATAAAACTGTGTATAGAATATCTAAATGTGTGTAACATTAGAAAAAAATATATACAGTATATATTCTTCTGCAATAGCAAAAAAAAAAAAAAAAAAATTCTAAAGAAGAAAAAGTTTTATTTGCCCATGACTTTCAGGTACTAACAGCTCTGTTGTTGATGTTCTATTCTGGATTCAGGCTACAGTTTATGTGTCCATTCATAACATTTGGTCCATCCAATCAGAACTCAGTGTCCCAGCCAGACTCTTCATCAGGTGGCGGCTCATCTGTGTCCTCAGAGAAACAGTCGAAATGACTTGTGTCCAAAGGCCCATCCACCTGCAGCAAACAAACAGTATATGTTTATTACTTTCCCAAACTCATTTGCAACATACAGCAAATAAATGTATTCACTCAAGACCGTAACACTGTCTAGTAATATCTCAGACCAAAGTAGGATTATGTGGGATATTTGAATTAAACATTTTTTGAGGTCGACTCAACAAAAAAAATTAGGAGTGTTGACATCCATTTTGACCGTGTATTTTGGATATCCCTCCAAGTTAGTGTTTAAATAAATACTACAGTCCATGAAATGATTTGGCTGAAGAATCTCTCTTACATTTGGTATAAATGGAGGAGCCAAGGTTCCTTCACGAATACCATCCCAGTTAAACCCCTCAAACCATCTGCAAGAGACATCAAAACCAGCACCGACCCAATATCATGACTAAGTCTTAAAATAAATGCAGTATTGTGCAAATGTAGCGACAATGTCAGAGCATGTCATCTATACTTGTGTTTCTGGATGTCCTTCACGCCGTTCTTCTGGTTGCCGAGTCTCTCAGATGGATTGTCCCTGTCAGGATAAACACACATGCAAACATGACACACTTAAAGGCTGTTTTTTTAAATCTAGTAAGCAACATAATAAGGCCGTTTCATTTAAACACATTTCAAAGGTTCGGCCAGTAGGGGGCCCTCATGCAACGTAAGCAATGGCATACATCCGAGTGAACGAGACGGGGGAAAGTTAGCGATGGAAGGGCATAAAAAATGGACGCAACCCTCCTCTCTTCTCTGATTACTTGTTTTCGACGCAAGGGTGGGACAACCTGTCACTCAAATGACATCGCAGCGAAAGAAAACCACAACTATCCAATCAATTCCCCATGGAAAAAAAACAAGCCCCGCCCTACATTTTTTTTCTTGTTCGAGAAGCTTTCACTCTGATATACGTCATAAAATAGGTCGTTTCATGCCGTAGTTACTTGTCAGAATTTGTTAGTCTGTCTTTCTGTAACAAATGCATAAACACAAAATAATATACGAATAATGTTATTTCAGGAGCTCATTTTTTCAAGACAAAAGAATTTAATTTAATTGTCTTATTGTCTAAATTATTCTATACAAAATGTTAATATAATTTTTTTAAAATATTTGTATTAATTTTTCTAGTAAAATAAAATATTTTCTTAGACTAAAATTAAATGGCATTTCAGTCAGTGTAAAATTGATTAAAACTAGTGCAATGCCCGTGCAAAATCAGTTTTTGTGTGTTGTTGGTTTGGTATGTTTGAGTTGCTGAATAACCTAGGCTACTATTACACAGGAGCCTAAACTCTGAGAAAACGATAACGTTAAGCGCACCAGAATAAAATATAATATTCAGCATTAAACAGTGTAGCTGACTTACAGATTCAGTTAAATCGCTACTTTTTAAAAAATGAATCAACACTTTAAAAAAAAAATCGCTACTTTTTCAAAAGTGAATCGCTACTCTTTCAAAATGAATCGCTACTTTTTCAAAAAGAATCGCTACTTTTCTCAAAAAGAATCGCTACTTTTTAAAAAATAATCATTAATTTTTCCAAAAAGAATCATTAATTTTTCCAAAAAGAATCGCTACTTTTTCCAAAAAGAATTGCTAATTTTTTCAAAAAGAATCGCTACTTTTTCAAAAGGAATTGCTACTTTTTCCAAAAAGAATCAACAAATGTATAATAATAATAATGTAAAAAATGTATAATAACACTGTAATGTATAATTACATTGTAATAAACGTATAATTAAATTGTAATAAAAGTATAACAACACTGTAATAAATGTATATTTACATTGTAATAAACGTATAATTACATTGTAATAAATGTATAATAACACTGTAAACAATGTATAATTACTTTGTAATAAACGTATAATTACATTGTAATAAATGTATAATAACACTGTAAACAATGTATAATTACTTTGTAATAAACGTATAATTACATTGTAATAAATGTATAATAACACTGTAAACAATGTAAAATTACATTGTAATAAACATATAATAACATTGTAATAAATGTATAATAACACTGTAATAAACGTATAATTACATTGTAATAAATGTATAATAACACTGTAATACATGTATAATAAATATTTTACACTACTTTTCCCAAAAAGAATCGCTACTTTTTCCAAAAAGAACGCTACTTTTTCAAAAAGAACGCTACTTTTTCAAAAAGAATCACTACTTTTTCCTAAAAGAATCGCTACTTTTTCAAAAAGAATCGCTACTTTAAAAAAAAAGAATTGCTACTTTAAAAAAAAGAATCGCTACATTTTCAGAAAAGAATCGCTACTTTTTTAAAAAAGAATCGCGACTTTTTAAAGAATCACTACTTTTTCAAAAAGAATCGCAACGTTTTTCAAAAAGAATCGCTACTTTTTTCAAAAAGAATCAACAAATGTATAATAATAATAATAATGTAAAAAATGTATAATAACACTGTAATAAATGTATAATTACATTGTAATAAATGTATAATAACACTGATAAATGTATAATTACAATGTAATGTATAATAACACTGTAAAAAATGTATAATTACATTGTAATAAACGTATAATTACATTGTAATAAATGTATAATAAACTGTAAACAATGTATAATTATATTGTAATAAACGTATAATTACATTGTAATAAATGTATAATAAACTGTAAACAATGTATAATTATATTGTAATAAACGTATAATTACATTGTAATAAATGTATAATTACACTGTAAA